GACCTATTATGCTCTTTTACAAAGTCTTGGTTTTGTTTTGGGGGTGTACTAGAACAGGCTCTCACACTAGGTTGTACGAAAAACACATTATTTTTACACATATTTTACATTACTGCAACACCTCTCTCCCCAGTCTGGCATGAACGGCTCGAATAGTTCCTGTATCGAATGAAGGCCTGCCTTCTGAAATTAGCTGGGCCAGTGTGTGTTGTGATTGGCACCACTCGGCGGCTGGTCAGGAAATGTCACGCCCCTTACCACCAAAACTCAGAATTTTGTTCACGTACCCCCCTCCGTCATCTCACCTACCCCCGGGGGTACGCGTACCCCAGTTTGAGAACCACTGCTTTAGAGGGCGCTAGGGGAACGCCTTCAGCATGACCGGTGTCTGAAGCATGAATGAAAAAACGACAATGAACTTGACATTGGCAGGAGGCAGCCTATGATGTAAACAATAAAGTGACTGCGGGTATAAAAGAGCACCTGCGGAATACGTCATCCTCTTCTTTGTCTTCAAGCCTTGTGTACGGAAGCACATGCGTTTGACTCACGAGAGAGAAGGATGCACTCACTGTTTGCATTCGCGGAACTACTAGATTCTTGAGGGAACTTAGTGTTTGAACAGAGTGTGTTTTGACTCTCGAAGGAGATATAGTCACACTGCGAGATGTGATCGCGTTGAGAATGCGTTGTATGCTTGATTCTCTTTGAGAATTGAGTGCCTCTCACCCGTTTCGGGTCTCGTGGCTGCCGAGGCAGTTAGTCAGACCGATCACGGGGATTGTAGGTGGGGCATGGAAGGAATCTGACGAGGAGTGCTTTCTCTTTCAGAATTCCCTTTTGTTTCTATTTATTTTACAGAATAGGAACTGTGTATAATGTGAGATATTGATTGTAGTTCAAATGCCGAAAACCTCTGATATCTACATTATTGGTGAAGGTGGCTCCTGACTTGGTGTAATAGCAAGTTTTTTGAGTTGTTAGGCTCTTGTTTGAGCATCCTCTGAGCCTCCTCATCCTCTCAGCCCAGGTATGTGTATTTAGGTTGAGCATGGTTTCTGCTCCTCTCGCCTAGAGAGTTATGCTGAGCACTCTGCTCCCTAGTATTTTTGTTTTGCAGTTATTTCAGGTTGTGAGGCTCTCTGTGAGCCTCCCTGATCAGCTGTTCTTGAGCCTGGTAGCTCCCCTCCCTTTAAGGGTCGCTATGCTGAGATCACAGTTCCTAGTGTTCTCTCAACAGAGCTCTGTGGCTGTTCGGTTGTTAGGCTCTTGTGGGCCTCCTTGATAAGTCGCTCTTCAGGTCGAGCTTTCGAGTACTCCCCTCACCTGAGGGTCTTTGTACTGAGTACGCTGATCCATAAGGGTGGATGATTGCACTCCCCTCGCTTTAGAGGGTGGTTATGCTGAGTGCTTGCTCCCTAGAGCTCTGTTCGGCAGTTAGGAGCATGGTTAGTACTCCTAGCTCAGTACTCTAGCTTTTTGTTAAGAGAGTCATTCTGCTGAAGCCTCCACTTTCTAGAGCTCTGCTTAGGCAGTATTAATGTGTAGGCTCTTTCTTCTGAACCTCACTAACTGTCTCCAGTGTTGAGTGTAGTCAGGTCTCTTCTCGTTCTAGAGAGTCATTATGCTGAGACCTCCATTCTTAAGAGCTCCTCAATTAGGGTTGTGTTGTTAGGCTTCCTCTGATTTAAGAGTCATTCTGCTGAAGCCTCCGCTTTTCAGAGCTCCACCTTTGGCAGTAATATGGTATGTAGGCTCTTTCTTTTTGAGCCTCACTAACTGCCTCTGGCGTTGAGTGTAGCTAGGTCTCCTCTCGCTTTAGAGAGTCATTATGCTGAGACCTCCACTCTTAAAGAGTTCGCTTAGCAGGATTGAGTGTTGTTAGGCTTCCTCTCGTTTAAGAGAGTCATTCTGCTGAAGTCTCCGCTCTTCAGAACTCCATCTTTGGCAGTAATGAGTATGTAGACTCTTTTTGAGCTTTACTAACTGCCTCTGGCATTGAATGTAGCCAGGTCTCCTCTCACTTTAGAGAGTCATTATGCTGAGACCTCCACTCTTAAGAGTTCCCCTACCAGGATTGAGTGTTGTTAGGCTTCCTTCTGGCGTTGAGTGTAGCCAGGTCTCCTCTCATTCTAGAGAGTTGTTATGCTGAGACCTCCACCCTTAAGAGCTCCTCAACTAGGGTTGAGTGTTGTTTGGCTTCCTCTCGTTTAAGACGGTCATCCTGCTGAGGCCTCCACTCTTCAGAGCTCCGTCTTTGGCAGTAATATGAGTTGTGGGCTCTTTCTTTTTGAGCCTCACTAACTGCCTCTGGCGTTGAGTGTAGCTAGGTCTCCTCTCGCTTTAGGGAGTTGTTATGCTGAGACCTCCACTCTTAAGAGTTCCCCTACCAGGATTGAATGTTGTTAGGCAGTACTATTAGTATGTAGGTTCTTTTGTGAACCTCGCTAACTGTCTCAAGCGCTGAGTGTAGTGAGGTCTCCCCTCGTTCTAGAGAGTTGTCATGCTGAGACCTCAATTCTTAGGAGCTTCTCTACTAGGGCTGAGTGTTGTTAGGCTTCCTCTCGTTTAACCTCCTGGGGTCGACAGTTCCACCAGCGGAACTTTTTGCAGATTTGAATGATGACAGCGAAAAGAACTAAAATGCTCCTTCTTACTTGACCATACATATAAGAGTAATACAGCATTTAAATCTGTAAAGGGTCTACTTTTATTTGTGTACACTCACAATATCAACAAAACACTGTGCTTTTGCAAAATAAAGAAAATATACAGGGTGTGCTTTTAGCCGTCTCATTCTCCGCGCATATCTTTTT